TGTTAGATTAACTCGTAAATATTATGTTATCATATGGATTATTTTGCCTTTCAAAAAGTTTTTTTGTTGGACGTGTTGGAGTCCAATAAAATAATTTGTTTTTATTAAATTGTTAAATTTTATCTTGCTAACCGAACGAGGCCAATATAAATAATCTTGAGATAAGTCTTTGATAATTAGGGCGAATGACAAAAAAAACCATCCCATGAGACTTAAATGCATTTTGGGGACAAACCGACTTGGGCGTTCGTCCATTTTTTTCGAAAATTTTAGGGGTTTTAGAGAGATAAACACTTTTTTGTTTTGAACGGTAAATAGCACTTTTTAAACCGTAAAGAGCATTTTCTAATAAAAATAACTGGACTTATTGGCTTGTTTTCGAGAAAAGCAGCTTTCGATGCAAACCCAGGCCCATTAGGAAACATAGGATCTCTTAAGTAAGGCCCATTGTTACTGCTACTTTGACTATAATAAATTGTATAATAAATAGATCTATATGTTAATTAATATTCTTATCAATACATACATATACAATATACATAACTATTTTACTGTATAATGTAACTGTAATTGATAATAATTATATGTATTCAAATAATTAATCATTTATCTGTAAGAAAAAATAAAAATAAAATGCTAATATCCATGATATTGAATATAATTAAGTTTATTTTGATTTCATGTATATATATATATATATATAATTTTATTGGGTCTACTTAATTTTTATTTTACTTTTGAAGGGCACCACAGGCACTACAAAAAAAAGTTGCATTAGCGACACCCCAATTGTGACAAATGCAAAAGTTGTCACTTAATACACACATTAAGTGACAACATCTTTTTTATTGTCACTAATAGCTCTTTTTGTTGTCATTTAATCCTTATTTATTGTCACTATAGAGCATTAGCGACACCCCATTAGTGACAACACTTTGTGCCTAATTATGTGAAAAATAAGTGTTGTCACTCAAAAGATTTTTTTTTGTAGTGAGGGATTTTAAAAAACTAGAAATTTGGATTTTAAAAAACTAGAAATAAATTTCTTCTGCATAATAATTAATTAACTAGCTAATTATACATTTGATCAAAGGACTAATCTCCTTTTAAATTTTAATTAGTAGCCAAATTAAATTAGGAATTGACCCACAACATTATTTCTGCTGCTGCTTGCTTATATATTTCTTCAACTGAAAATGCCTGTTGGAACTGGTCTGATCCTCCATTTGCCTGATATATAAACCACAAATACAAATAATCAAGATTAAACAAAAAAATAATATAATAGATTAATTTTAGCGTTTAATAATCAAAAAGGAAAAAAAGAAACAAAAATGAATGGAACAGAATTGTTTAACAAGAATTGTGGATATATAATAAGATCAAATTCAAGAAATCACTTATTTAATTGCACTAAAATCGGGCAAAATAAGAAATCAATCGACATTTTTTCGTAGTTTGTTTTGACATACGACGAGTTATATGCATTAAAATTGCTACTAATCACGGAACGCGACACCATCTACGATTAACAAATTAATAATCTAATTAAAGTTTGAGGGCAAATGATTTTTCCCTAATTCATCTTCTCCTAGGTAAAAGTTTAATACAATTGAAGTCTTAAATAAACTCAAACTATAGGTATAAAATCTAATTCTTAAAAGAAAATCCGCGATATCGAAAACCCTAAAAAAAACTTATATACGCGTGTATTTAATTTGCTATATATAAAAAAACAAAGGAAGATTTTATGGACTAACCCGCGCATGAATCATGTACATGCATCGATTTCGATCCGACGAGACTTGAGCGGAAACCACATCTAATTTATGCTTCTCCATCACAAAGCATATAGCAGTGAACAAACCGGGCTTCTTCGATCCGCACACGCTGAAATGCGCGTCTTTCCAACACACATTCAACACCACATTCGCAGAAGTCCATGTCTTGAAAATAGCCGATAATTCCGGTCCTGAAAATAGCTGATTAATTGGAGGGCTTGCTAAAGTGACAGCCGACGTACTGCTCGTCGATCCCATCTCGGCTAGAAAGGCCTCCCTCGATTGGTGGATTCCAAAGTTTTGTTGTGTGATTAGTGATGGCGGGTCGTAATTAATGCGGGTGATTACCTGATTATTAGTATTGTGGAGTTTATCGAGCTTTTGTTTCTGAAGCTTTTCGAGGGTTTCTTGAAGTTTCTTGATGTAGTTTACTGCTTCATCAACTATGGTTGATTTGTCTGCCTGCAATAAAATTTTATTACTATTACAGAAAAATAAATAAATTAAATAAACCCTCTTATCATTTAATTAATTCTTGATGCATAGCTAATAATAAGTGCTGATCTGACCGAGATAGATTGAATTAATTCCAATTGAGTCACATTTATTGTTAATAATAAAGAGATTTGTGCACGTTTCTAATTAAATATATTGCATGAAATTAAATTACAAGCTAATTAATATAGAAAAATAATTAATTAATTAGTCAATAAATTGACAGAAATGAATGATCTATGTACGGTGTGA